CACATATGCGCCACACAAGTCACTTGATTTGCGTGTGGGTTGTGATACTACCTGGGTGCCAAAACCGAAGCACGTGGGTTTCATAGGAGGCCACACCTGGAGCAATTGACCTAAAGGTCTCATCCATAAAACAGTAGAGCCACGTCAGGAGATGCAACCCCATGGTTGCCAGTGACTAATAATTGCTTCATACACCATTTGTTCCCTCAGGATCCTGGAGACCATGTGTGCCATTGGTTTGGGATCAGGGTTTTTCAACTCCCCTTTATGGATGCTCCGTATCTATCAATTCAGTTAAAGCGCTGGTCATTCGCTTTTTATTCTCTCAATTTGTAAACAACACCGCAGCCTCGAGAAGGCAGTGATTAGGATTTCTCTGACAGTGGCTAAATACTCGTGGCCATGTGAAAGCATTTTGATAGAGTGAGCTGTTTCTCCTCAACCTCGGCCGTATCAGGGATTTTTCCCACATTTTGATTATGAAAAAAGAAAGACTTGTCGGTGGTAGCAACAACTGTTCATGAAGTATGAAAAATTAGAAAGAGATTAGGATGATGATAAGATGATAGACTGGTTAGCTGCTACTTTTACCCAGAGTTTAGTTTGGTTTCATTGAACTGTGCAAGTCTTTGCGGTGCACATGTTACTAATAAGTGCTTCATGTGAACTAATTTATTTGATCGTACAAATGAATGTAAATGATAGTTCAAGCTTTGGAATGGGATCGTAAGTAAGTCGTCAATGGATTTGAATTTTCTCTTTAATGGGTACTTACTTGGTAATGTTCACTTCTCATTGTTATTTAGGACTGCAATTGATCAGTCGCTCATTTATTGGCATATGTGCATCCTCAGCGGACTGCCTGGATATAGACTTAAGTCACAAGCTTTATAAGCAAAGATGAATAGTGGCTAGTAGTGGAATCCAGTTTGACGCGCGTTTCGTCTTATTTAGGACTCGTCAGATGGATGTTGATGTCTACTCCGGGACTCGAACCCAGTGCCAGAGAATTGTTTAGAACCATGTTCGATGTGTTTATTCAATGAAATGTGCTCCAGAAGAGCAAATAAAATTGATTCGTTCTAAATTTGAAGTTTATCCGAAACTTATCCACCTTCAAAGTTCTGTCCACTAAAATATTCTCATTAGGTTATTTGCTTTCACGTTACATGAAATGCCCAAGCAATGTCATATATTTCTCAGTATAGTAATTTGTGCACGTTTTATGTTATGACAGACTCTACTTTACAGTTCACCTGTCATTGAAAATTGTCTTTAACATATTGATTACTTTATTTATGGGTCACATCTACAAAACAGTTTGATCAGAATGAGATCATTTGAACATCTTGGTTCATTGTATTAAATAAGCATTACAATTTGATTTGCTGTTTAACTCCTTTTATTTCCTTTCAGATATACAATGGATAATATATGGCAGACAAGCTTCCTGGGAGAATTAATCTCATATTTTGGGTGGGTCAATAGAATGGAACTACTCTATGACTAAGTATATGTTTTATATATGTGGCTGTTAACAAGGATGTGTTGTTCACTTTGTCTATATCATTATTCATCATCCAAGCAATAATTTACTTTTCGTGTTTAGTCATTTATTTAGTATATATAATTTTGATTATGTTATAACTTGTGCCCTGTGTCCTATTAATGTATAATGTAATGATAACGCCAATGAGAGGACAGTGATTTATCGACCAGACCAATCACGTATAAACCCTTATGAGCAGTTTAGAGTGTTTACCAGTTCTTCTTTCTGCCTAGCCCTGCTTGCCTGTAGAGTCCAGAACACCAATCTCAGCCTCTGCGACATGAATCATGTATTTCAAACATACTGGGGTTTATATACCAACCAAACAGACCATATCGTATCATAAAATAGGAAACAATATTTGCACGAGATTTAGCCAAAAGTAGCTGTGAATGTGGGAGATAGTAATTTATAGACTAGGCATAATTCAAGAATGGCAAATCGTATAATAATAATCTATGAGTCAAAATGAAGCTTATAATAAGAGAAATATGAATATGCATAGTTTAGTTACTTAACAATTACACAACAAGAATATATATAGTATAGTATTGGTTCATGAATGGAACCCAACAATCATCATTCATTATTCTCATCGGGATATAACAGATTGGTGTAGTGTTGGACAAAGTGAATGTCACGATTTAATGGGAAGAATAGTTTTGTTGTTTTGTTATTCTTATTGTTGGTTAATCAGGTGTTATATGATTGATTCAACGGGTCAGTCAAGCATCTACCATATGATAGTTGTGCACCATTGATTGAGAATAAGACATACGCCATTGGTTGAACATGGGAGTTAATTTTCCAAGTGGCAATTATATATACAACATACCAACTAGAGCACTGAAGTCAGATATAGAAGTAACTAAGAAGATGCTTTACACTCTATTCAGCAAGATTTGGAATGAAGTACAAGTGCATGCAAACTGGAAAGAGGGATACTTCATCAAGATAAAGAAGAAAGTATATCTAAGCAAGTGTGAGGACTACAAAGGCATTACACTGCTATGACTACCAGGAAATGTTTTAAACATTCAAATTCAGGTCAAGACAATCCGTGTGGCAAAAGCCTATGCATCAGTAGGCCTCAAAAAGCAAGATCCTCAAATACGACATGGAGATCACCAGCCCAATCACAGTTGATGGCGAAACTCTGGAAGATGTGGAATCCTTCACGTATCTGGGATGCATCATCGATGAACGTGGAGAATCCGATGCAGACATGAAGGAGAGGATTGGGGAAGCAAGGATAGAATTCCTGCAAATGAAGAACATATGCAACTCAAAACAACTGTTAACCAATATCAGTCAGAATCTTCAATACGAACGTCGAGACAGTCCTACTGTACGAATCTGAAACGTGGAGAACTACTACAACTGTCATCAAAATGGAACAAGTATTTATAAACGGCTGTCTACGCAAGATACTGAATGTCCATTGGCCGGTTACCATCAGCAACAGCCTTCTGTGGAAGAGAACAAATCATCTTCAATCTGAACCGGAAATCAGGAAAAAACGTTGGAAGTGGATAAGACATAAATTACTAAATTCATAAAACTACATTATGAGGCATAGGCTAACTGGAAATCCTGAATGGAAAAGGAAAATAGGAAGACCGTGGAACATATTGTGTCGGAAATTGAAAGCAGATGTCAAAAGAATAAATGGCAACTGGACAGAAATGTCCAGGACAGAGTTCGATGGAGAATGATGATGAGCGACCTATGCTCCTCCATAATGGGAAATAGGCGTAATAAATATATAAATGAGTAAACAGATATCTCTTGATCCTCTTTTTTAGCTGGTAAGGCCTCCTTCTTAACTTTGATTTGATCACTCAGGTACCCAATTGCACTTAAGTGTAGCAAGCTTGTGTATCATTATCGGGACCAAAGATCGCATAACACAACTAAGACTCGCTTCCATAAAACATTATAAAATCTTATATTAGAACCGAATATTGTTTGTACTATAGCTATTTCACATTTCTATTTCAATGGTCATCATATATGACTATATCTTCAATGCATAAACTCTTTTACATTTCGTTAACGACACTTTGTTAAAACATTATTCCTAACATTGTTTCAATTCATAAACGTTCTCAATTAACTAATAAGAAACTCTAAAAGAGGATATGTAGTTCTTCAATAGTACGTACTAGTACTAGTTCTTCTGGTTTTGTTTCATAATTTTCTTTCGTAAAACGAATGGTATGAAATATAAGAATGGTAATTGTGATTAGTAGGTTACAAGTGTAATGTACCGATCTTAGTATGAGTGCTAATTTGTCGATACTGAATATCATATGGGATTGAACTTATGATATTTTGCCCACTTGATGTAAACCTAAGCATTAGAACTACAGGTCAGAGTTCGATTGTATAATGTAAACTTCAATCATCTAATATCACTGATGAGGACTGTTTCACTCTTGATATATCTGAACCCTACCGGTCACCATCCTTCACTAGAAGTATAAGAAAATGATGAAGTAAGTCATTAGTGAGCATACTGTGTTGTGGTAATTCTTCTATAACAACCTTATGCCATAGGATACATTAAGTCGAACATTTTATCATCATGTATTTTCGTCATTAAAATCATATGGTTTTTTTAGTTTATAAGGTACTGCATTGTATCTAAGACATAAATAGTACACTTTTCTTTTGGAGGAGAATATGTTAGTTTACTTCAATTCTACCTGAAGTTTGTGCTGATGATGTCTTTCAGAAAAAACGATGGAAGCTTCACGATCAAACCATCTAGTTCAGAGAATAAAACTCTATCGAAATGTTAGTTTACATTTTATTTCATAAGAAACTGAATTTGAAATCAGTCATTCATATTAATATCACATATTACTAACCTATAATTCATCTTGTAAATTACTTGATTTGATGTCACATTCTACAATAGGGACTTTTTAATCAAACAGAGTAGTAAATGGTTGACTAAGAATTGACATTTTAGTTTACAGATAATCAATTTAAAACGTTTTCTATTTCCCATTTCTAAACAACCTCTAATTCCTCAGTGAACGAATACTTATCATTGGGTTCCAATCTCCATCATATAGCGCCACAATCAGAGATATCACTATTTATCTATTCCATATTGAATTATTTATACTGACGACCAAATTTTATACTGACCGACTAACACTATGACTTCTTGACAAATAGGATACTAATTATTACTTAATGATTAGTTGATACAAACATTTTTTTAAATTTTTTTTATTGAGATCATGAACCGATTGATGTGAGACCACCATTGGATACCTGGAAGCACTGAATGACGGTTTCGTGTTATTGTGGGACTCCTCAGCAATGCGCATCCACGATCCCGCCTCGTGAGATTCAAACCCAGGACCTATCGGTCTCGCACGTTAACGCTTTATCTCTAGACCATGACCTTATACTGATATTTATTCTTAAAAAAACGTTATCGTCACAACTTTTATTCACCAATATCTTGATATAAGTAAATATATAAAATTCAATGTTGAAAGTGACCATAATAATCCTTTTCCATTGAAACGTTGAATGCTAGTGCCTAAAATATATTTAAAATAATATTAATAAAATAAATGACTACAAATATGAATAATGAATATCAAGTACGTTTATAATTGACAGAAGTTATCAATTTAATAGACTCTGATATGGTTTGGATTCGAATCCCACCCCTCATCACAACCTTTAACTGCGCTCGGAGCTCCTGTGGGACTATTACCGATCCCAAGCCCGGATAAGGGGGGAGGGTTGGACATGGGGTTAGTGACTCGATTTCGCGGGAAACCAACTCGCTAAAAAAACGCTAACCAGAGAAAAATACATAAAATTGTCATTTTAGTCCTATGCTAATTAACAAATTTGAATCACGTCCCCCGATCATTACATAGTACTGTAGTGAAGGAGAACACAGGTTAGGACAACCAAATTGTATGTAACACAAAATTACAGAGTTACTTGGTAAAATAGAAAAACCATTTAGTTAATCGTTCATTTGCAAAAGATCAATGCATCATATCAACCTGGACTGTTGCTGTAGCAAACATCAATCCATTATCTCACATTTCATTGTTCAGGCGTTTCCTTACAAGTTGCATTGTGTTGTCGCTCTTCCATTTTTGATCTTCCCCCATCTTCTGCTACTATACATTACGTTTTTAACTCGTGTGATATGCTACTTACATCGATATAAGTAGCACGCACCACAGTACGACTTATATTATGCTATTACCATATTCTTCTCTGCGATTTCAAAATTTAACATATATATATATATATACAACTAGATTTCATAACTTCTTAATGGTCTTTATCCTGTCAAAATAGATAAATCTTATCATTAACGCTGATATTGATCTTGTGATCACAAGTGATTGATCACTGGGTAGTGATCAATGTCATGCGTGTCTAGTCCTTATTAGTGCAGATCGAATGCTATGGATCATGTTGCAACCACCAACCACCATCTAAATCTCAATATATAGTGCCCGCAGTTCCGAGTCACCTAGACTGGTGGACACATTGCAACATGATCGATAGCATTCGATCTGCATTAAAAAGGACTAGACACGCATGACATTGATCACCACCCAGTGATCAATCAATTGTGATCACATCTCAGTCCTACAGGAAGTCATTCGCGGCTCGGCTAGCTCAGCAGTAACGTCTCTGACTGTGAAGCTGGGTGACACGAGATCGAATCCACCAGGGAGCACCAGTTCCCTCAAGATTGCAGGTACACCTTACTGACGGGTGCTAAGTAGCACGAAACCCAGATCCAGGGTTTCCTGTTGACTACCTCCAACCACCATCTAAATTGATCTTTTGAAAATGTTATGTAAATATTGAAAAGCGATTCACATGTAAACATAATTAAATTACATAGTAACTAAGTGGAATCTATTTTGGCAAACCTAATACCCATTATGTTTATGATAACTTGTAGAGTTAATTCATATGTACGTTAATTATAACAGTTTTTAACTCATTAGAATTGACAAGGAATTGGAATTTATCATACATTCACGTGTTTAAATACCATAAGAAATTTGTTTTGTTTAAGTTAATTAGAAATTTGCACCAATATGTATTGCATACATATGGATTTGATTCGAATAGACTGTGATGTGTGCTACTGATATAGATAGTTATAAGTAGTATGGATCATCAATCGAAAGTGAAATGCCTGGAAACAGAATGTTAAGAAGATCAAATAAAAGAAAACGAGAACAGAGAATTCACTTGGTGTTGTATTACTTGTATCTTCTCAGTGTTATTTAGGACTACAATTGATTAATCTCTCATTTGTTGGCATATGTGCATCCTGTGCAGATTGCTTCGATATTGCCTTAAGTCACAAGCTTTTTAAGCAAAGATGAATAGTGGCTAGTAGTGGAATCCAGTTAGACGCGCGTTTCGTCCTATTTAGGACTCGTCAGTTGGATGTACCTGCAGAGAACGTTTGGTGTGGAAATGAAGGAACAGTCAGGTTCGAGAAGATTGATTGACATTTTACAAACGAAGTATTTACTGTATGGTTCTTAGATTTTCCTAAGAGATTATGTAATTTTGTGTTGAACTACATTCGATTGTCCCCACTTGTGTTCTCGTTCACTACAAGACAACCATTGATAACCGATTAATATTAAATAAACACAGTTAAACTCCACTGGCTACGGCTTCTCACTACAACTTCAGGAAATACCATTTGAAGTCAGTCATTAATGAGCAGATAATGAATATTATCTGAATGGGGCTTTGTAGATATTGTAGAATTTTTTTAATAGTTGAATTCATGAGGTATTTCCCGGAGTTCTTGCAAGAAGCCGTAGCCTGTGAATTTCAATCATGTCTGTTTTAGAGGCAGTTACTCACTGAAGATAAGATTAGATAGCTACTTGATTTCTCTATTTTTCACATCTAGAATCTTAACAGGGATCAAACCTAAGATCTACAATTCTCTTGGTGAATAGTTTCTCCTTTAAACTAATGAGTTAGAACTTAGTGGATAAAACAGTTCTTCCATACTACCTATCAGTCACTATTCAGCCACTATTCAGAGATCACATATATTGACAGAGATGGATCAAATTTAGTCATATGTATCAGTAATGGAAGAATATCTAGAACCTAACAACAAGTAATCATAATCATAACAATTCTGTTGAATAGATCATCCAATTTACCTTTATTTACATAATCTGTAATGTAGAATACAAAGGAAACGATTATTAATGTTAGTGATATGGTTCAGTTTAATCTTTACTATCAAATACAAGGAGACAATGAACGAACTCTTTTGTAATCATGGTTTGAATAGAATCTACATCAATAATGAATAAGCTTCATGTGTAATTTTCATAGCATTTAAGCAATTAAATAAAATCAGAAGGGGAATTTTTGTGGATATTATAGCAATTTCAATAGTTGAGATCATGAGTCCATTGAAGCTGGACCATCATGGAAAACCTGGAAGCACTAAACGGCCGTTTCTTCCTATTTTGCGACTCCTCAGAAGTGAGCATCCACGATCCCGCCTCGCAAGATTAGAACCCAGGACTTGTCAGTCTCGTGAACGAGTGCTTAACCACTAGACCACAAGATTTAAGATGGCAAATCTTGTATTTTAGCGCGAAATTCATTCATTCATTTGATTAAATATCATTTTGACATTATATCTGATGTCAGTTAGTGAAGAAATCCTTAACATTCAACTGTAAAACCTAATCCTAGTTCCTTACACTAATGTATAACTTTCATTTAACCCTAGTAAGTAGATGAACATTCCAAGGTTAGTTTAGCGTTGCTCAAAAGGTTACCCATAAATTATACTCTCATTGCTAATTCTATAAACCTATTAATAAGGTGAATGTTAATAGATATTCTTACAGAAGTATAGTAGAGGGATATGCTAATGAGAATTGAGAATGGGAATTTTAAACCTTAGTCTCTAATTCAAATTTCATACATGATAAGCAGTAAAAATACTTTTGAGATGGTGGAGAAGATTTGTAGCTCAGGTAGATGATTTTGATGGAGTTTTGTTCTCTGAGCTGGATGGTTTGGTCGTGGAGCTTTCATCGTTCTTCTGAACGATATCATAATTAGCACAAACTTCAGATAGAATTCTACCTGAAAGCTCCACGACTAAACCATCCAGCTCAGAGAAAAAAACTCCATCAAAAGTAAAAAATACTATTGTTTGTTGCTTAAAACGTTTAAAATGATTGTAAACAAATACATTTTACCATGAGAAAACAGAAGTGCTCAATTCTGTGGTCTAAGGGTATTACCCTAAATTCTAACCTTAATCTTGAAATAAACCTTAACTTGATGGCACTATATTTTAATCAGATAGTCGCTGTTGAACTTCTAGAGAGATTCATTCATCTGTCTACTTAGTTGTCATCAGCTTTTGATGGAAATCTTAACTATAAACCTTTAACCTTTACTATAAATGCTTAACCTTAACTAACAATCACAACATGGAGACTTAAAACAGTGTCTGGATTCTTTAAAGAATTGATGAAATATAATTATCTATAAAGATGAGCTTTGATCTGTAGAAGATATTAAATGTAATAAATCTCTTTACACTTTACTAGGTTGACCATTTTCTTCTCTATAAACTATTCATTTACATAAGATGTATTCTGAATAAATTTGAACTGGTTGAAAAATGAAGTTTAGAAATGAATTCCCCGGTGAAAATTATATTATGGACTACTTTTGGGCGACGCTAAAGTTACCCTGAAAATGTCCATCTATTAACTACGACTAGATGACAGTTATAAAGCAGTGTGAAGAATTAGAATTATGATTTACAGTGGATGGCTATAAGGTCAGGGACTTGATTTAGAGTTTTCATCACGTAGTGACATCAGTTATAATGCCAAGATGCTATCTAGCCAGATGGATGAATGAAGTTCGCGCCAAAACTCAACACCTGTTATCTTAAATCTGATTGGTTCGTTCACCAATTATAATCTCGCAAATTATACTCTTATGAACAGCATTTATGCTAGATCTTTCACAAACATATTTAACATAGAAGCGCAGATGTACAAAAAAGTCATGGATACATGATCTATGTCCCAATCTTGCCAGTATTACATATTGAATTTTGCATTGTTTGCATTGTAAACCGAGATATTCTGATTGGAGTGAACTAAACAAAGCAAAGTAAAAATACACTTTATAAAAGTAAGCAAGAAAAATATTGTATCCGGTTATCTTTAACTATTACTGGCAGCTGATCCGTGTCGGGTAAAGACAGGTATCTACCTCATTATAATGGAAAATGGTCGCGCAGTTTCGTGGATTGGTTGAGATAAGACATTAATACCATTGGATGCCTGACGGCTCAGTGGTCTAGAGGTTAAGCACTCGCGTGCGAGACTGAAAGCCCTGGGTTTGAATCCCTCTCGCGGGATCGTGGATGCGCACTGCTGAAGAGTCTCACAATAGGAGATCATTGAGTTTTGATTGAGATCATGAATGGAACAAAGTTAGACCATCATTAAAAACCTGTAAGCATTGGACAGTATTCGTGAAAGAGATCGAAGGTCCTAGGTTAGAATCCCATGTTGAGGATCGTGGATAGGCACTGATGATGAGTTCCATACTAGGAAGACCGACACATTCATGATCTCAGAAAAGGATAAATTTCATAAAGGTTTTATAATTACATGTTAGTAAAATATAATGAAGAATAATGAACTTACAGCATTGAATTATTCCACCTCCTGTAAGAAATATTACAAATTGTCTGAATATAAGAAACGTTAATTCATAAGTAGTACTGTAGTAAATGAGAAATCAAGTTAGGAAGATCGATCTCATTTAACACAAAACTACAGAGTACTTACACAAAATATGAAAAGCATACATTCAATACATCATTTGCATATCTTCCATCAGTTATGCTTTATATGCTTCATAATTCTTTTAATTCTGTTGTTATTACAATTACTTTCTGTTTTCTTTCATTAAATCCTCTCACTCTTCAGTTGGTATATATTCCACTTTCTACTTTTATCTATCAACATAGATAGATCCATAAAGTCACTGACAAGTGGACTGAGCCATGTTGGTCAACGTAGACTAACTGGTTGAGATCCGCGAGATGATAGCAACCGATGGTTAGAGATCTTGAATGACATGACTCAAATTCGTTTGAAGGTGCATCCACTCTTTGTGTTCTGCAAAATTCTAATCTTCTGAATTCTTCATGTCCCTTTCTTTTTGTCTCTCTCCAAATTTATTTCACTGGATTATACTCCTTGAATTACGTCTTCAAACCCTAATCTTTCCAATTATTGCTTATACTTTTACTACCTCTACTACCATGGGATTTGGATCGACAATTGTATCTGTGTGCTAAGGTAGTATGACAACTCGAACTAATGTACGTACGTATCATGTTTTACGTTGTTACTGACTGACTGGATGACTATCCGTCAACATAAGTAGTATACACTACAGTACTATAATTTATTCATGATATGATTCATAAAACTGAAAAAGATAGTAAAATTTCTCTTGCAAAAGGGATAGTTTTATTTGTTTGTTGTATATTGGTTACATTAGAGATTTTCAAAGTGTTGTAGCTATATTGTTTTGATATGTATAGGGATAGGATATTTCACGACAGCCTATCAAAAGTTTAGATCCTTAAGCGTTTAGATTTCAATGAAATTCTTTTTAAATCATACTTTTACAATTAACTGGTTACTTTGTAATGGTCAGTGTCATGTATGTTAAGTTTTTCCTTAGTGCTGATTGGATTATATCGATCAAGTTGTCAAGTGGCTACTAGACTAGTTGACTTGACAGTGGGTGCACTAGGCTGAGATGTAAGGTAATGGTTGGAAGTACTCGACGGGAAACTCTGTTAGACTTAGGTTTCGTGCTATTTAACACTCGTCAGCACGGTGTACTTGTAATCTTAAGGGAACTGATGTTTTCTAGAGGACGTAATCTCGTGTTACTCAGGATTCAGTATCATAGACGTTACTGCTGAGCTACTTATGCTGTTACGTCTTTCAATGAGTCTATATGATTTACAAAAAAGTAGTGTTTTAAAGCAGAAGAAGCATTAATATGTTCAAGTAAATAATTTCACGTACTTCAGCCTGAGAAATTCTTTACGTACGTAAGTTGCCATAAAATAACAACTTTTAATAGTTGAGATCATGAACCGATCAATTATAGACCACCAGTGAAAACCTGAGAGCAATGATGGTCCATCATTGATCGGTTCATGATCTTGATGAAACTCAGCATTCTTCACAAAACTATACTGATAATTTTAATCAGACGTCTAATGGAATGCTTGTGTGATTTTACAGTGTAAGCACTAAGTTGTAATACTTGTAATCACATTCACATCATCTCATATATATTTTGACCCTGGTAAGGCAGAGAGTGGAGATAATCAGCGTTCCCTCTTGAAATTCTCTCACATGAACACTTGTATACAGCCACTGTCAGAGAATTCTTAATCACTGCATGGGGGTGTTGTTTACGAAATTGAGAGCATGAAAAGCAAATTTCCGGAGCTTTAACCGGGTTGGTGAACGTGGAGGAACCATCTAGGGGAGTGAGAATTGAATATCCTGCATTTGAGTCACGCGTGTGAGATCTTGGATACACACTTATGAAGAGTTGCATACCAGGACGAGACAGCCATCCAGTACTTCTAGCTTTTCAATGGTGCTCTAGCTTAGGTCGACTCATGAACTCAACTATTAAAATTTATGTTTATTCTGAATTCAAATTTTTAAAATTCAGTTGACCTATACTTAACATTGCTAGTCATTTCAACAAGTTGTTACTTGTGAATTATAAAATCCCTTTTTTATATCTAAGATTTAACAAAGAAAAAATGGTCTTTATTCATTGGATCCAACGTTGTTAAATTATTATGCTTATCTTATAAAATTTATTAGTAGTTGAATTCATGAGTGGATTAAAGCTAGACCACCATTGAAAACCTGGAAGCACTGGACGGCTGTTTCGCCCTAATATAGGACTCCTCAGAAGTGAGTGTCCACGACCTCGCCTCGGGGGATTCGGAACCAGGACTTCGAAATCCAGTGCTCCCAGGTTTTCCATGGTATTATAGCTTCAATTGACTAATGATTTCAACCATTGACATTACTACAATATCCACAAAACTCCTTTTGATACTAATGGAATTTTAAATGAAAATCAGATTATTTAATCATCATCTATTTATTTCGTTTAGTATACTATTCATAAACTGGTAATGAGTAAAATGTGAAACTTACTCTGTGTACAAATTAGTTTCGCTAGTAAATAATAAATAATGATTACTTATAAGATTTTTAAACAAAAATCTAGATATAAACAAAGATGGATGATGGCTACCAGCGGAATTTAAGACGCGCGTTTCGTCTCAGTCGAACTCGTCAGATGGATGTACCTGCATCTTAGAGTTGATGTTCGATCTGGGACTCGAACTCTATATCGTTCGTTTCAAATGCCATCACGTTATCCACTTAGCTACTGAGTCCATAAAGCCACTTGTTTATGCTACGGAGTGAAGTTAAATTCATTTTGTATGGGTTGTTTGAATCTTCCAGTTGGTGTTTAGGACCGCAATTATTCAATCTCTTATATATGCTTATATATACATATATACTCTAATATATATGAATATATGCTTAGTGTTTTTATTGGTTAAGATTTCACTGAGAGACCTAACACTTCCCAGTTTCATCCATAGTGAGGTCATGATTAGATAATACTAGGAAACTTCTAGCTATAATGAAATGACTGTCCAGTTCACCCATGATTTTAAGTCTTATTCCAAATGAAACTAGTCTATCTACAAATGAAATCATTCTTTACAGAACCCTTTCCATTTTTTATATTTTGTTCATTATGATAAGTAGAGTATTTTACTCACGTTGTCTTCTGGGATAATCTGCAATCATAGATGATGTAATCATCAATGAATAAGTTAAATCTAACAGTCTGTTTTCCTTAATACAGGATATAATAATGACCACAGTAATAATGATATTGGCTTCATCCCATATCATATGTTTGAATTATGTAACTAATTCTCAACTGGATAGGATATGTATTCATGAATGTATAGAGAATACGCTTTTTGATGTTCAGTTTAAAGGGCAAATGCTGCAAATAACAGTATAGTTTCCATTTACGGATTTCATTGCAGGCTGAAGCATTTATTGTATTTACTTTTTCATCTAACCAAATGAAGACGTATTACAGTGGAGTATTCGTAGAAGACAAAGTATTAAATTTTTGAAATGAATCCTCACTAGAAAATAGGGAATTCTCGGAGTTCTAGTGAAAAGCCATGACCAGCGGAGCTAATCTGTGTCGGGTAGAGACAGGTGACTAACTCAGTACAATCGAAAATGGTCGCGCGATTTCGTGGATCGGTTGAGGTTAAATACTAACACCGTTGGGTGCCGGCTGGCTCAGTGGTCTGTAGGTTAGGCGTCCGAGAGCGAGACTGAAGGCCATGGGTTCAAATCTCGCGGGGAGGGATAGTGGGTGCGCACTGCTGAAGAGTCCTACAATAGGACGAAACGGCCGTCCAGTGTTTGTAGGTTTTCAGTGGTGGTCTAAGATCAGTCAGTTCATGATCTCAATCAAAACTTATTATTTCATGTTTTTTTAACAATGGTTTGCTTCAATTATATTTCATACCCTAACTTTTTTCAATCACTTCTGTCTTTACGACATAATATATCAGAAGGGTTTTATGGATATTGTAGTAATGTCAGTGGTTGAAATCATTAGTCAATTGAAGCTAGACCAACGTGGGAAACACGAAATCACAAGACGGCCATTTTTTTCTACTGGTGGACTTCTCAATAATGCCCATCCACGATCCCGCCCCATGAGATTCGAAATTAAGACCTATCAGTCTCGCGTGCGAACGCTTAACCACTAAACTACTGAGCCGGCCGGTATCCGACGGTGTTAATGTCAAACTTCAACTAATCCACGAAATTGATCGACCCATCCACTATTGTCTTCAGTGAGTTACTATCTCACAACAGATGTGATTGAACTCCACTGGTCACTGCTTCTCTTAATATATATTTAGCGTATAATTTAAAAACGAAATCAAATGCACTTACTCAATAGAGTTGAGTAGAATGGAAATATACCAACACAAACTTCAAGGAGAAGTGAAGTATTCAAGTTACGTCACATATATGACTCATCTGGTCCTATTAACCTTAAACTTGATCTTTAGCCGATTTCACTTCTACCTGAAGTTTGTATTGATGACATTATTCACACGACCAAAAAATATATATCTTCACGACCTAAACATTCAGCTTAGAGAATGAAATTTTGAGATAGACTAGTTCAAAATGATAGGTTCGGGACTGTGTAGAAATCATGTATCTGTGCACATATGCTAGTTAAAAGTCAACTAATTACTGAAAGATTTCGATACGTGAACTCTATTGGTGGAAATTTGAATTACCTATCTGAGTTTGAAAACTGGATCCAAAACCTACGAGACAAACATTTACACTGTGAACGGATTTTTCAGTACATTGTAGACAGTTTAGAAGATGAATTCATTTGCATTGGCTGTTTGAATCTTCCTTCCTATTGATGTTTAGGATTGAAATTGATCAGTCATATCTTCTTTTTTATTTCCTTTAGCTTTAATGCTGCCAGTTTAATACAATAGTTTATATAAAGAACAAAATAATCAAATGAAAGTGGAAACAGTTCAATCAGTTTATTGTAAAGATATAAGAAATCTTTCTTTGAATTCATTCTAGATATGATGGTTAGTTAATGTTGTCTATCAATAAAGGGACAAGTATTATGGACAGCGGTTCGTTCTGTTCGACTTTATGGCTGCGAAACATGGCCATTAAGAGAAGAAGATACGCGTAAGTTCCTAGTATTTGACCACAGATGCCTCAGAAATATTACTCGCATCTGTTGGGATCACTAGGTAAGTAATAGTGAGGTTAGACGCAATGTATTACAGAATGATCGTAAATCAGTTGATGAGATTGTGAATTTTCATCGACTAAGATGGTTGGACCACGTGTTGCGTATGCCTGAACACCGATTACCGCGACGCGTAATGCTGAATAGTGTTGGGGATGGTTGAAAAAAAGTTATGGGCGGCCAAACCAAAAGGTGACATCAGTCCACAAAGTCACTAACTTCTAATCTGAGCCATGTTGGTAGATACAGATTACTTGGTTGGGATCCGCGTAACTATCGTATCCATTTGCTTCAGACTATGTATGATATGGCTCAGAATCGATCACAATGGCGTCGGTGTGTACACTCGCTGTCTTCCCTTAAACTATGGAATTGCTTCATATCTTTCTTTCTTTGAACTAATTCTTTCTGTACTATATCCTTATATGCTATCTTTCTTTTATATATTACTACTATTGAAGTAACTACTTCTATGAATTCGGTGTTCATCTTGTTGTACTAATGAGGTGTGGCAACTTGGACCGATACATATATGTACCTGATCCTACGTTGTAGCTGACTGACTGATCGACTGGTAAGTAGGGAAGACACTTTCAGTGAAACAAATTTGATCATTAAAACTTTCATGTCAAAATATTGTTACGTAAGTCAATTCCTGTTTTAACCTTAATATAACTTAAATAGTCAGTACTTAGTGTTATATGTTTAATAAATTTCTAAATACCTTTGTAAATAAGTCGATTTAAAAACAACACAAGTGAATCCTATTCAGTTCACCATTTCCTTTATAGGTGCATATATATACCAAGCTAACTGATGGTAATTAACATGGAACTAAAATATAACAGAACCTATTGTTGTATTATTCGTTGGATACTACTTTACCATCAAAACTTCTAATTTTTAAAGCAAAATCTAAGTAGTAAAGCTTGTGACTTCAGGCAATATAGAGGCAATCCTCTCCAGTTGAACAAATGACAACAAGAGAGAAGCTAATCAATTGCAGTCTTAAATAACAGTGAGAAGATACAAGTAAAACAACACCAAATAAGTGAAAATAAGTAGTAGATTATTAGTAATAAACAGTGTTTAACTTACGACGAATAAGTCCTATCATACATAAGAAATACTATATTTCAATATTTTACTACTAAATAGGTATCTATATCATGGTTGATCTTGATAGTTTCAAATAAACTGAGCGTTGGATAGTCAGTTAATAATCAATATTCCTGATGTTTTGTGACTTAATGTAAGTAACTTCTTCAGAGTAAATAAATAACTGACGAAATGTTAGAAATACAATTTTTCTGCTCATTGAGTATACACTGACTAGTGACTGGCTTCAAGATATATATCCTGGAGTTCTAGTGAGAAGCAATGACCAGTAGAGTTCAACTGGGTATGTTGTGAGATAGTAACTCACAATGGTGGATACGTAGATTAGTTGGAGTTAGATATTAACATCGTTGGATGCCACCTTGGTGGTCTAGAGGTCAAGTATTCGCGCGAGAGACCAAAGGCCTTAAGTTCGAATTCCGCAACTGGTGTCGTGTATGCGCACTGCTAAGGAGTCCTAAATTGAGACGAAACGGTTGTCCAGTGATTCAAGGTTTTCAATTGTCGCTTAATATCAATCAGTTCATGATCTCAATTAAAAAATATATTTATTATTTACTACTACAGGGACTACATCTATGATAACGAGCATAATAACCAGTGAAAAAAAACAAATAAATAAGCAGCATAAGATCACTATAAGGATAAGCTAAGAAATTTCATTCATTTACAAAGTTCTTGATTATTCTCGTGTATAATCAGAGCTTGGCATTATTTTATGCCGTTGAAATAGATGAACTATTGACAGATTTAGAAGAATTCTATCAAATCACTCGTCAGATGGATGAAAAATATGTCCTGTATTCTACTGCTAGCCATATTCTATTTATTGAATATTCATCTGTGTATTAATGGCTATATGGAGGCAATCAATGTAGGATGAAAATATGCCAACCGATAATAGTTAACTCACTTACTTATGGCTGTTACCCCTCGTAGAGGAGCATAGGTAGCCTACCACCGCTCTCCATCCAACTCTGTCCTGAGCAATCCTTTCCAGCTCCTTCCAGTTGTTATTCATCCTTTTCATATCCGCTTCGGTTTCCCGACGTGATGTGTTCTTTTGTCTTCCTCTTTCCCGTTTCCCTTCAGGACTACAAGTTAGCGCTTGCCTCGTGATTCAGTTTGGTGACTTCTGTAAGGTATGCCCTATCCATTTCCATTGTCTTTTCCTGATTTTTGGTTCAGGTTGAATCTGAATTGTTCTGCTTCACAGTAGGCTGTTGCTGATGGTATCCGTCCAGTGGATGTTCCGTATCTTGCGTAGACAACTAATTATAAATACTTGTACCTTCTTGATGATGGATGTAGTAGTTCTCCATGTTTCAGCTTCATACAGTGGAACTGTCTTGACGTTCGTATTGAAGATTGTAAATTTGATGTTGGTTAACAGTTGTTTTGAGTTCCATATGTGGCCCTTGCTTTGCCAATCCTCGCCTTTACGTCTGCATTTGAACCTCCTTGTTTATCGATGATGCTTCTCAGGTACGTGGAGGATTCCACATCTTCCAGAGTCTTGTCATCAAGAATGATTGGGTTGGTGTTCTCCGTGTTGTATTCGAGGGTCTTGGTTTTACCTTGTATATTTTTAGGTCTACTGATGCAGAGACTGCTGCCACACTAGTTGTCTTCATATGCATTTGTTCGTGTGTACTGGATAGAAAAGCTAGGTTATCTGCGAAGTCCAAATCGTATAGTTGCATCCAAGCTATCCAATATATTTTGTGCACCCCTTCAGAGGTGGAAGTCTTCATAATCCAGTCAACTAGCAGAAGAAAGAGGAAGGCGGAGAGTAAACAGCCTTGTCTGACCCCTTGTCTGCCCTCTATGAACAACTTTGCACTATAGTCCGTCGTATGAGTTCCAGGTAATGTTGACAACCTTCTCAGGAACTCCATCGTGTTTGAATTTTTACATTCGGATATAGAATATAAGGTTGGTGTATATTAAATACCATACAGGTTTAAAAATTGTGTTGCCAACCATATAGATTGAGCTGTCCAAATAATTTGGAGCTTGTAAAATGGAACGCCCGAAGTAATAATGAAATTATTGTTAACTATGAATTCTTATCACCAGTTCCGATTTAGAAATTAGTTACTTTGGGGAGAACTGATTAACGTTTAGTGAATACCAGGATAATTCCAAAATAAATGTCGTTATCTTTAAACTTTAATTAGTTTTATAAGCAAAGATGGATAATGGCTAACAGTGGAATCCAGGGCACGAGTTTCATTCTATTTGGGACTTGTCAGCTGAATGTACCTGTATCTCAGGATGCAAATATGCCAATAAGAGACTGATCAATATGAGCCGTAAGCATCAATGGGAAGATTCAAGTAAACAACATCAAGTGACCTTAAACTTCACCCCGTTGGAAAAGCAAGTGGCTATCAGGACTCAGTAACTAAGTGAATAACGTAATGGCGTTTGAATTGAACGCTACTGAGTTCGAGTCCGAGAGTGAACATCAACTCAGATGCAGGTACATCCATCTGAGGAGTCCCGAATGAGACGAAACACGCGTCTTAAATTCCGCTGGTAGCCACTATCCATCTTTACTCAGAAAGCTTGTGACTTCAGGCAATGGTGAGGCAGTCTGCACAGGATGGACATATGCCAATATGAGATAGACTAATCAATTGCAGTCCTAAATAACAATGAGAAGATACAAGTAAACAACACTTGGTGAATTTATACTAGTTTTGTTTAAATTTGACTTGAAGTTTCTTACTTATTGATGGCAACAGTCATAGATTTATGTTTTGGTAAATGTTCTCAATCATCATGGATGGATGTCAAATACTTATGAATTTAATAATTGACATAAATGATTGTGAAGATGCCACGGGTATTTTGGGAGTTTGACAACGCTTTAACCAGTAACACCTTTTAATATGAATCGTACACATCAAGTGAAATCAAAAGACAGAAGCGAGGAGGTTCGAAGATTTATTTGATAGGCTATCGATATATCGTGGATCGACTGATCTAATCTGGCTAGCGATTGCAGGGGTTGTTGAGCACGGCGTTCCCACTCGTGATCTGATGCGGATGCATGAGCAGGCGCCTTCAACTAGGTGAGTCCATTAAAACTAATCTGGCCAGCATCCAATGTCGAAGACTTACAGAGCTATTTATTATGGGGATTTATATACCGCTACAATTGTTTGATGACTTTTCACTGTTAAGTGATTGGAGATAGTCAAGATGGCAACTTGTTCTAACTAGGTTTCGGGTCAGTTGATTTTAGTTAGTAAAGCTTAGTTACAATCTTCAGAGTACGAATACTATCAAATCTATATCACTTGGGATCATAGGTAGTGAGGCTACCATTGAATGATTTCTACTGATATATATAACAAAAATCCATATCGTCCACTGAATGATCATTTAAGTAGTGTTTACTATTTCGACTTCATTTTACCATGCTTACTAATGTCATACTTGAAAATAATGAGGAATATCTTGTTATTCAGTTGTAAAAGAATATTTAAATTTGATATCACTAGGGTTTTGTACCAACGCTTTGTTGATTTCGTGAATTGGTTTTTAATCAATCACTGGTGTTATACGTCCATTTTGAACGGGTATCGTAGCGTCAGTTACTATGTTAAGCCAACATAGCTTATTCTAGATTCTGAACAAACGAACTCATCCATTCTCCTCAATCTACATTTTAACCTCGGTAACTGTTCGTTTAACTCCGCCTGGAACCCACTACGGGGCTACTGCCGGTGCCAAACCCGGATAAAGGTGGAGGGTTGGGCATGGGGTTAGCGATCCCATCCCATAAAAAACTGACTCTTCAAAAAAACTCTAACCAGAAAAAATAATTCAAACCATTTAAACTCTGTCCTGAGAGTTGGAAGGTCCTTATTTAGAAGAGTTATGACGCCTCAAGATAAAAGCCGAGTTCCTTCGGAAGTCTCAAGGATGATGCCCCTTCTGACAACAAGAGTAACCAATAATTTAGGCATATGGAATGCTTGTTCGTTATGTGAGAAAGAGAGTCATGCAAATTGATGCAGAAATAAAAAGATACAACCTGGAGGTGCTTGGAATCAGTGAAACACATTGGACACAGGTTGGACAACAAAGACTAGCTTCAGAGGAGCTGTTGTTATACTCCTGCAACAAAGAAGATAATGCTACACACACAATGAATTGCGCTAATGCTATCCAATTATCCGTTTGTCAACTTGAACTGTTATTATATGTGAGCATATATGTGTGAATTTTCTATCTTAATCATCACGTGTCTGTAACTTATTTTTATCTGACTATAAATATCGATTAACGCTTGATTAAATCGAGTTGGCTCACACGCGTTCTCCACTCTCTTCTCTTCGCTTCGTTTCTCCGGTCGTTTGTCTGGATCAACGATTGTATTATATATGCGCATTCAAGAATCCATTCTTGTATTTGAACTTATTTTAATTCCGTTATTCACTAACGCGAGTTAAGTCGATCATCATATACGAGGATAGCCAAGATATGTATATATTCTATAACTCGATATCAATCATTCATATGATCCAAATGGGGTCATATTCCGGGCCATTAAAGTATCTCAGTATTGCATCTATCAGCTATACAATATTAAATATCGACGACAGAATGGTATAAAGCCAAACGAACAAGTCATATTCCTTGAACATGTTACGCGATACATGAATTTTGTAATTTCGTAGATAATATGTTAGTGTGATAGGTACTATGATCAAATCCCTGTCTGAACATCATCATTGAGATGTAGATACAGTCCAAAACAACCAACAAAAAAACAAAAAAAACTTAGATATTGAATATGATTGTTATCCACCATTTTAAAATGTTGATATTAACAGTTTACTACGATGGCAATAACGCACTTGATTAATCAAATATTTCAATGTCTACGAGAATGTACATCATTTTAATACCTTGAAACTGATAAGTAATTGGTAAATAAAAGCACAATATACTGCCAAGTGTTATCATAAAAGCTTGGTCGGATACCATCAACAACAGTCTACTATGAAAGAGAACTAACTAGGTTCCGATTGAAGAAGAAATTATGAAAACACGTTGGAAGTGGATAGGATATATAATACGGAAATCATCGAATTGCAAGTGTTAACTTGGAATCCTGAAAGGAAACAAAATAGATGAAGGCCGAAGAATACACTATATTGAGAATTGGAAGTAGACATGAGAAGAATGAGAAGAACTGGAAAGGATTGCCCAGGACAGAGTTGGACGGAAAATGCTGGTAGGTAGACTATGTCCCTCGACGATGGGTAACAGGCTGTAACTAAGTAACTAATAAACTTATTTTCAAAAATATGTAAAAATGAATTGTATACGTAAGCATTTCTTTAAGAATGATCTCATTTGGAATATCACTTAGATCTTTGGGGCACTGGACAGTTTCACCCTATCATTTTGGAATTCCTAGACAATAAGTATTCATGACCTCACCAAGGATCAAACTTATGACATACATTATGAACTTTGTTTTAATTTACAGTGACTATGATATTTAATAGCTAAGATTTGTATATAAATTGAGTGTAGTTTAGTTTAAGTCAATTAAACTTTGTACCAGTTGTATTTGGGGTTTCAGTTTGTATTGTTGAAATGACAGTGGTTCTTGATAGTTATGTATAAGGAGTATGGATATTCTCATAAAACTTACTGTTCTCATCATTAATTATAACTGAAATACAAATTATTTTGATAAAAAACCATATCTGAATTCAGTTAGCTTTACCGATGAAAGGTATTAGATTGAACTGAGAATATAGAGATTAATACTGGAATATCAGTCAGTCAGTCAGCTACAACGTAGGATCAGGCACATATATACATCGGTCCAAGCTGCCATTCCTCATTAACACAACAAGATAAACATCGGATTCATAAAAGTAGTCAGTTCAGAGGTGGCAATATATAAAAGAAAGATTGCATATAAAGATATATTACAGGAAGAAAGAATTATTTGGTAGAAAGAAAGATATGAAGCAATTTTAATCTCTTAGTTTAAGGGAAGACAGCTAGTGTATACACCGACACCACTGTGATCGATTCTGAGCCATATCATACAGAGTCTGCAGCAAGTGGATACGATAGTCACGCGGATCTCAACCAAGTAATCTGCATCTACCAACATGACTCAGATTAGAAGTTATTGACTTTGTGGACTGATGCCACGTTTTGGTTTGGCCGCCCCTAACTTTCTTCCATTACTGGAATGTAAGTAATATCTAGTTGATAAATCCCAATTAAAATAAGACATGATTCTTGTATTGAGAATCTAGTTACGTATCGATAACAACATAAGTAGATGTCACTTTGGGATCTGACGAATTTTGGTCATTTGCGAAATGTATTGATCGGAATTCCCGTAGTAAACCGGTCACTTTAGTACTTTAGTATGGTGAAGAAATCAGTGTAATGGCTTATTTTCTGTTTTATTTATTCTTTGTACAAAATATAGTGTTTGATAAATAAGCCAATGGATTTGTCGAAAATTCTAAGTATAGATATCATTAAATTCTTAGGAAATTCATGGAGATAACTCATTGAGTAAACATCTTTTCATCTAAGGAATTACCAATTCTCTTGACTTCCTCAAATACTACAAGAATGATCCACGTGAGCGACGACTGTCAACCCTTCATTTTGTTGATGAAAACATTAAGCTATATAGTTTCTTGAACTTTCTAAACATCTATTCACTTCACAGACAATAGTGAATAACCTGAAAGCACTGGACCGCCGTTTCACCCTAGTGTGGGACCCATTTGCAGTGTACATTCACGATCCCACCTGGGGGATTTAAACCCAGGACCTATCGATTTAGCTTCAGTTGACTCATGAATTCAACTATTAAATTACTAAAATCTCCACAAAATCCTCTTCTGATAATTATGAATAAGTAGTGTTTTATGAATTCATCTGTGTTAGCAATTTCCCCAAATCATTCCTGGCTGCGAAAATCAACGTAACAATCATGAAAATAACAAGGTATCAAGATAGTTTAACTTCTAAACACTCTGAAAAATTGTTTCGAATAATACAAATGGAGATTGGGTGTAATTGGAGAAAAATAAACTTTTCAAAACGTTAGTTCGCTTGTTCATTAGGGTGACTAATATGTATAGTTTTGACTCAAAGCATCCAACTGCGTCACAAGGCAAGCCCTCATTTGGAATCCTCAATACCAATGGAGGAAAGGAAGACCAAAGAACACATTACGGCGAGAATGAACAACAGTTGGATAGAACTAGAAAAGAAGGTCAATGACAGAGTGGGTTGGAGAATAGTGGTCGGCGGTCTACGATCCATTGGGAGTAAAAGGCGTAAGTAAGTAAAATAATTAATAAACGTTTACTTACATGGTCCTTGTTTTTCAGTAACTAGTGAATAAAAAAAGAACTATCAGTATAGGGGTTGTAGAGACTATTTAGTTTTTGATTGAGATCAAGGATCGATGGACACTAACACCATTGGATGCTGGCTCAGTGGTCCAGTAGGTTAAGCGTTTGCGCTTGAGACTGAAGGCCTTGGGTTCGAATCTCGCTAGCGGGATCGTAAATACGCGCTGCTGAGGAGCCTCGCGATAGGACGAAGTGGCCGTCCAGTGATTACAGTTTTCGAACAGTGGTCTAACACCAATCGGTTCATGATCTTAATAAAAAAAGAACTATTTCGATTAATGATGTAATAAAAAAAACAAACGACTTAGTTAGTTGAAAAGTACTTTTGAGTTCAGTCTAGTCTTACGAATCATTTCGTAACTTGAAAAGCTTTATAACCTAAGAAACAAGTATTTACCTTTCAGTAAACTGGGAAATGTTATAATTTGGAACTTTAATAATAAAAGCTAAGGATTATTTCAATTCATTTCAATGAGATTGATAATGAATCATTCACAGAACTGAAAACCAAACATCAACAATGTAGTGATTTTTATTAGTGGAAAGTAGTGTACTTAGTGACTTGAGAAAAGTGTACTGTAGTTCAAGATTCTAAAATCAGTTTAGTTCAAGTATCTGGTTAAAATCAATAACCTTCAGACATACAAAATGTAGTTCAAAGCCTAGTACATAAATCAGTACTTGATAAATAAGAAATGAGTTACCTAATACTATTCTTTGGGGGGGGGTTCGGGGACGAACAGTTTCATTGTGTTTAAAATGGAAGTTCTCTCATATGTCGTAGATGGCACATCATGAAAAAAATGCATTTGTAAATCATTTATTTTATCATGCATAAAAATTACGAACTGTTACTCACCTGGTCTTGAAGCTTTCGCTGCGAAGTGAAAAGCAATAATTTTTCAATCAGTAAGCAGTTTACACTTTTTCACGACTCAAAAAAAGAAACTATTTCCGACCATTCTAATCAAAGATGGATAATGGCTAACGGTGGAATCAACGACGCTTGTTTCGTCCTATTTAGGACTGGTCAGCTGGATGTACCTGTACGAAGTGAACATCAGGTACATCCGGCTGATGAGTCTTAAAGTAGGACTAAACATCCATCTTAAATTCATCTGCTAACCACCATCTATCTCTACTCATAACGCTTGTGATTTAAAGCTACGTCGAGGAAATCCGCATAGGATATACTTATGCCAATAAGAGACTGATCAATTAGAGTCGTAAATATCAATGGACAGATTTAAGCAATCAATAGAAAAATGAATAACACAACGATGAATTGATGGAATACTTATTAATCGATCATTTTGCGTTCTATAAATCTTCTTTAATAATTGTGTAGTCTAATATTAAGTCAATGTTGGAGATGTTAGATCCCAAGAACTCATTTGATAAATACCTTATTTTTTGTAATTATATTTTAAAAATTTGAATTTCCTGTTCTCGTGCCAAAAGCGCTCATTTTCACCTTCATAACGTATTTCCCATTTGGGAGGATCTTAAACGTTATTGGTTCGTTGTATCTTTTAATATGCTATTTTGTAACGCTTCCCAAAGGACAGTTTTATACTGTTTGATTTGTGCCTGTTGTTATCGCTCATACTTCTGGCTGCTTGTGAAATATATTTCCCTGTTTCGAACTTGGACTTCTTTCTTTAGTTAACGGGGCTGGGACATATCAGAATAGCTAGCTTATTGGTCTTTGGTCACAGGGTCTAGGTGAACTTGTAATCGCTTCAAACATAGCACTCGAACAATGTGAATTCAGTCAAAATGATGTTAATTATGTAAATCTTACTTGTCGTTTTTATATCTAAAAAAGATACATAATATAGTTATAATTATATAATATACCCTTGTGGGCCAGGGTAATTTTACATTGGTTTTCAATAGAACCAGACACCATCCAGACTTTCACGTGACAACCCAAACAGTATAGCTCAATCCCCTTTAACAGGAGAGCCAGACACCACCTAGGCTTAAATTTTATAACCCGAGCAGTACAGCTCAATTCAGCCTAACAGAAGAATCAGACACGGTATAGGCTTTAACGCTACAATCTGAATAGTACAGCTGAATCCTGTGGCGCAACTATACAGGTACCAAGCACCCTGGTAGAACATACAATAAGATATAATTATGATATTTCTAATGATGAAACACTATCTTAATAAATAGATTTTAAGTTTCGAGATAATGAGGAAGATTTGTAGCTCAGATGGATGATTTTGTTGGAGTTTTCTTCTATAAGCTGGGTGGTTTTGTCGTGAAGCTTACATTGTTCTTTTGAACAACATCATCATTAACAAAAACTGCAGGTAGGTTCAAATTTCACCACAACATATGACTCCCAGCTTGTTCTGCTAACCTCGATTTTGACTGGTTATTGTTGATCATTGTTTTGTTATTATCTTCCTCTTTATTTTGATTGTGTTTTCTTTGAGTCTTATTCTTGGGTCTATATAACTGTCCATGATTTTTCTTATTTGGTTGATGAACTTGTTCAAACTCGATTTCTTTATTGATTGCTGATTTCAACAATATTTTTCCAGTCGAATGTTTGTCCATAGTTGCTCACATACATTGATATAAACGAAATGTCATGACGTTTGACCGCTTATTGATGTCCATGTACACAGAGATGTGAAGAGAGAGTTCATTTTGCCTGATTTAGTGTTTTTCGTCATTGGAACAGTTTATTTTGTAGATGATGATGTTTGGTTTATCATTGAGATTAAACCAAAATAATTGCAATGGAGATGTCCGTGAAAAACAAAGATTACTGGAGAGTTGTTTCTTGCTGGTAAGAAGTTTTGCAACAATATACACTCACAACCTCACCAAAGATCATAAGTTGGACCTACATATTTCGTGGTGAACATATAAACTTTAGAAACACTGATATATTACAACCTCAATGGTAGCTGGTGTAAGAATCGGTTGAGAGGAAGCTCGTGTTAGTAAAATGTGTCGAATTGAGGCAGCTAATATATATGACAGGTTCTAGGTTGCGTGTGACAGACGACTGACTGATAGTCGTAGATATTCCTGACTTCAATTCCAATGCTTCCTGATTTACTATAGTGCCCCCTACTAGTAATAATAAGTAAAGAATAATGCTTCCATAATAAACCAGTCTCCACAAAATCTACTTCAAGATGTTTCTGAAAATTTAGTTAGAATTTATGGCTGATGAAAATTAAACATGCCGGAAATAAAACAGTCATCCTAAATGGCATTGAATAATCCTCGCTTAATGTAGCAAATTGAAATATGTTTCATTAGGTACCAACCCATTAGTTGTAAGTGACCTTTGTGAGACCTAAACGTCTTGAGTTCAATCCTTGATGAGGCCATTGATGTGAACTATTTATGAATTCCATACTAACAATAAACGGTTATTATTTAATCTTAAATTCCGGACCCCTGAGCCCACAATAACACATCGATCAGAACCACTGTCAGATGCCGGATTGAAAGTAGACTAAATTTATACTGAATTGATCGAAATTAGGTGTATACAGTACTGAACTCCTAATCATTCACCTTGGGGTTAAGCTTTTGCTAGCAAAACCAAAGACCCTGGGTCCGGTTCCTGCGTGCAAGTTAGTGGACGCACGCTACTGAAGAGTCCCACGCTAGGAAAAATCAGCTGTCTAGTAATCCCAGGTTTTCATTGATTGTTTAACAAATTTCAGTTCACGGTTTCAATGAAATTCAATGCACATACATTATCAGTCTCTCACCAATATCTTTTCTTTTTCCTGGTGCATGTCGTCCCATGATATCTTCATAACCGTTATTGTCTATTCCGGCTTTGGTGTTTAGATCTCCCATCAAGATGGTTAGATCCTTTCCTGGGCACTTTGGCATCATTGATTGTGGCCTCCTATAAAACTTATTTTCATCATCTTCATTGATATCCTTGGTGAGTGCATAACACTGGATGAGATTAATTGTGAACCCTTCCTTCTCTGTTTTGAATAATGGTTTGATGATCTTGGATCCATGAGATTTCTATTGTATAAATGCTTTTCATGTTTTTCTTTGGATAGCATCGGTGCAACACCTTGTGTGGGAGGCATTTTTTTCATGACCAGATCTGTTTGGAAATTATTGGAAAAATACAATTTGATTTATATAATGAGAAAGAACTCACATGTCGTTGTTGTGTCGGTTGCTAAGAAAATCAAACAGGGTTAAAAATGAGATTATAAATATAGTCATTATTTGGTAACTTTTTCACTAAATGCATGTTGGTAAACTGAACCTACAAATTTTAATCTCTACGCTTATGAGGGTCAGATGAGATGAAGTGTATCACATTACATTATAAAAACCATATTTACAGGTAATAGTGAAGCACTTGCTTAGGGTGGATATATGTTAGTAGAAAAATAATCTAAATTTGAATCACAGAGTAAACATCAACTCTGAGATGCAGGTACATCCAACTGACGAGTCCCAAATATGACGAAACGCGCGTCTAACTGGATTCCACTGCTAGCCACGATTCATCTTTGCTTTAAAAAACTTATGACCTAAGGCTATATCGAGGCAGTCCGCACAGGATACACATATACCAAAATGTGGCTGATCAATTGCAGTCTTAAATAACAATGAGTAGATACAAGTAAAATAACATCAAGTGAACATCATTCATATACAATTTCATAAACTTACAATGATCACCCCATAGTATACCAGCTAAAACAATTGTCATGGCAACAACGGTAGTTATGTAATGTCCGTCAATTTAAAAATCAACGATATACTGTTGTATCCAAATGAATAATAACTGCTTGGAATTCTTTATGGACAATTATTACCCATATTCTTATTGAATAATTATTAAATAACTAGATTATGCATATATATACCCATATTCTAATTACTATCGTGATGTGTGCTACTGATGTCGATAGATATAAGTAGTATGTATCACCAGTCGAAAGTGAAATGTCTGGTGGCACATGGTTAAGAAGATCGAAGAAAAGAGAACATGAACGGAGAACGATTGGTGTGGAAACAAAAGAAAAATGAAGTCTGAGATGATCGATTAGCGTTTTGAAGAAGAAACAGTCAAGTTTGAAATAATCGATTGACAGATTGCAAATGACGTATTTACTGTATGGTTCTCAGATACTTTGTCCCAACTCGTGTTCTCGTTCACTACATTATAAGCTTTTCTTTTATTCCATGGGCTACTGCTGTACAATTTACCATTCTCAACTTATTTCCGCGTTATTAGTTACAGTATTCCATACTCGTAGCTACCCTTAGCTTGATCTTGCATGATTATCATTTTATATTTTGTGGTGTGATGCAGTCTGATCTGTTTGTATATAAATCACGTATGTCTGGAATATATGATTCATACAACAGAGGCTGATATTTGTTTTCTGGACTCAATGGGCAAGGCTAAGCAAGAAGCTACTATACAGAGGACCAATAAAGACTCAGAGTTGACTCAAGGCTGTTCGTGCTGACTAATGCATCATTAGTTCAGGCACAGGACAATGTCAATATAAATAGATATTCTGATTAGTGATCTTGTCTCGTGATAATTGACAAGGCCATAAGACAACACATTCATTGAAGGTGATGAAAAAGTACACAGCCTTCGTGAATAATTACAATGGATAACATCACGTTTGTTTAGTCATGCTTACTGCCGATCAAACCCTTTCGTTCGAGTTTTAATACGGCTATTGATCTAAGCGACTCAAAATTGCATACTGTATGCTTCAATGTAAGGTCGGTAATGATTCTTTAATCAAGAATGAATTAATTGGGTGTAAATTTCAACGTTACATTAAGTAAAAGATTTATATCTCAGTCAGTCAGTCAGTAACAACGTAGAACTTGGTACGTATGTACATCAGCTGTCATACCACATTATTACAGAGATGCAATTGTCGATTCAAATCCCATAGTGGTAGAGGAAGTAAGAGTATAAGCAGTAATCCGAAAGATTAATCCAGTGAAATAAATTCGGAAAGATAAAAAGAAAAGTGACATGAAGAATTCAGAAGATTAGAATTAAGGAGAACACGAAGAATGGATGCACCTGCGCCATTGCAAACGATTTTGTGTCATGTCATTCAGGGTCTCTAACCATCAGTTGGTATCATCTCGCGGATCCCAACCAGGTAGTCTACGTCGACCAACACGGCTCAGTCTACTTGTCAGTGACTTCATGGATTTTTGCCATGTTTTAGTCTGACCGCCCCTAGCTTTCTTCCAACCTACTCCTACACCATAAAACATCGCACGTTGTGGCAGTCGGTGGTTGGGCATACGTAACACATGTTCCAGCCATCTTAACTGATGAAGTTTCACTACGTCTAATTGGAAGAAGATTTATGAACCATCATACTGTTTGTAATTGAAGTAATAAAGATCATGAAAAAGTGTAATTTTTTTCAAAAATCACGATGTAAAGATCTGATCAGATTGCTTAAAAAAGAATTGATCTAATTGGAAAATCCATAAATTGACCTACAGAGATTGTTAGTTATGGATATAAATAAACTTTCAGTAGACTAATGAAATGTTAAGGACTATTTACAGAGACCATATACTGGTTAAAACAGTACTCTGTATCAAGTGACCCATTAAGGCCCATGAAGTGTTTGAAGATAGTTCAAAGTCAATAAAATGTTGAACTTTCTGTGTTGATGAAAACATTGAACGCATAGTCGCCTTATGTTCTTCAAACGAAAAGGGTGAGACTATAACTTATGGACGACCTATGAGCAACACAAAAGAAACCTTGAGAATGTCCACCTACATACTACGGCTAAATGAAGGTTATAAACCAGTATGAGGAGTTACGATTAATATTTACAGTTGATGGTTAAGGTTAGGAATCAAATGTAGGTTTTCTATCACGAACTAACATCAGCTATAATGTCAAAACTCTATTTAACTAAATGGATAAGTGAATTTTGCGCCAAAATTTAAGATATGTTATCGTACATCTGATTGGTTCGTCCATGAATTATAGTCTCGCAACGAAAAGTTGTTGTATAAGTGATTACAGATGGAAAATCTAAGATTTAAACATTACAGATATTGTAAAATAAAAGTTTCAGAACCTTGATTTGTTTTAAAATAGTGGTTGGATGTAATCAACAAGAAATCCGGAATCTAGGTTTCGTGCTACTTGGCACTTGTCAGTAATGTGTACCAGTAATCTTGAGGAAACTGATGCTCTTTGATGGATTCGATTTGGTTTGTGTATTTATCGTAAAGTTTTAGGATTATTTTGTTCGAAAAGTCAAATTCTATCTATATCAAACGGTCATAATGTACTTTAGCCCAAGGCTTCATATCACTTCGGTACGACAAGATGAATATCAAAGAGTTGCGAACACAGTAATATCGATTATAGTTATAAAAAAAACAGAGAACCGAAGAATACGGTTTGACAATAAGGGATGATGTAGTTTCGGTCATTATGTTAAGCCCATATATCTTATTCTAGCTGCGAGACAAGCCAATCTATTCATTCTACTTGAGTCACATTTTGACCTTGGCAGTTATTTACTTATCAACCTTGACTGTTTGTATGTAAGAGCATATGTGCACACTTCTCATCCTATTCATCACATGTATGTAGTTTACTTTTGTGTGACTATTAATGTTGATTAACACTTGATTAAATCGAGTCGGTTCACCCGCCATCTCCATGGCGCTTCATTACGCTTGATCCTTCTGATTTCCTGTCCAGATCAGTGAGTTTAGAAAATATACGCATTCAAAAATCCATTCTCGTATTTGACATATTTAATTCCGTTATTCACTAACGCGATCTATGTTGATAGTTATATACGAGGATTGATGATTTGTACATCTCAATAGCAATCAGAAACCATCTCACTGGATTTAGATCCTGGGCCAATTATGAATTCGAGGTAATAAAATGTACGAGACATCTGTCCTACTCAGACTAATCTTAATATATATTGCATAATGCTTTTAATCAGTAATCTCAGCTATTACGTATACCCCAACCAGATAGTCTCTAGTCCTGTCAATATAGCTCAAACTAATAATCAATTACTTCAGGCATTAACCATGCTGTGACAGTCGAATTACAGAAAATCTTACTAAAATCTGTAAACCATACAATAAATAGTCAATTTACAAAATATCAACCCACTGGCTCAAACTTGACTGTTCCTTTTGCAATTCTCAGTCAATCGTCTAAGATTTTATTGTTCCTGCATTTTCCTATCAATTGCTTTACATGTCTGTTCTATTCTGGATCTTCTACTAAAATACATTTTATTCATGACCATCATTATATACTACTTATGTGAATATAAGTAGTACATACCACAAGCCTTATCTTGATTTAGTAGCTCTTGTCTTTCTTTCAATTTATATTGCGTCTAGGCAATTTTATCTATATACCAACATATTGATGATATATCTTCTTTATTGAAAGCTACTTCTTATACTTGATCATCTTCTTGCCAGATCAATGGAACAGATAATATTAACAGAATGGGTTTTGTAGAGGTTTTTAGAAATTTCACTGGTTGAATTCATGAGTCAATTGAAGCTAAACCACCATGAAAAACCTGAAAGCACTGGACGGCCGTTTCGTACTAGTATGAGACTCCTCATGATTTCAACCAGTGAAATTTCTCAAAATCTCCACAAAATCCATTCTAATAATAATAGTCACCTGTTCACTAGTGACTGACTTCTGGAGATACTCCTGGAGTTCTAGTGAGAAGTCGTTACCAGTGGAGTTCAACCAAGTCTGTTGTGAGATATCAACTCAGTGAAGACAATAGTGTACGGTGGCGCAACTTCATGGATTGGTTGAAGTTAGACGTTAACACCGTTGCATGTCGGACGGCTCAGTGGTCTAGTTGGTTAAGCGCCTGGTGCGAGACTGATAGGTTCTGGGCACGAATCTTGCGGGTTGCTGGATTGTGGATGTGCACTGCTGAGGAGTCGCACACTTGGACGAAACAGCCGTTTAGTACTTCCAGGTTTTCCATGCTGGTCTAGCTTCAATTGACTCATGATTTCAACCAGTGAAACAGATAATACATATTGGGTAATATAGCTAAGAGAATACAAAAGATTCTTATAATTCAATTGAACTTACCACAATTCACGTAATGTACAGTTAGAATGCATATCGTAATAATGGAATAGATTACTAAATTATGACTGATCATTTATGTATAAAATGATATGAAAGCAGGATTCATCTATTTAAGAATGAATTTAATGTTGAAATAGATGAGTTTATTTACTTAGGCTTATACAAACATTTCTAAGGTATAGATTAGGTATAATGGTTTGTTTTTTGAAAGTAATTTATTGGTTGAACTAAATAAATATCAAGAAGATTATTGAATTTCATTAGAATCATGAACTGGTCTATATAAGATCAACAATGAAAACTTAGAAGCACTGGATGGTCATTTTGTTTCAAGTGAAGTGTCCGCTTGTGGGATATTGGGTACACACTATTCAAGAGGAACATATTACAATCTAAGTTTTCGGTGGTATTTCAATTTAGATCGACTTATTATTTCAATACATTTCAATACAATACTGAAGGTGTTGGGTTGGTATCCCGTGAGCCGGGATCATGGATGTGCACTGCTGAGGAGTTCCACAATAGGACGAAACAGCCGTCCAGTGCGTCCAGATTTTCCATGGTGGTTTAACATCAATCAGCTCATGATCTCAATCAAAAAGACCAAATAAAGTTGAACATTCAATATTGAATGGAAATATCTTTAATAAATTCGTGCATACTTAGAAAATCGATGCATATTTATGTATAAAGTGATATTATGCAAGTATATTATAGGCTAGGATTAGTGAAGCAATCATTAAAGACTAGGAAGATACAGTTATTTGTACTCTCGTCAAATTTGACACTTCAACAGTGTGCACCCAACAACCGTGGATACCGATGATCGAACATAGAATGTAGAGATATCACCTGTATATCAATGATCAGGAACTCCATGATTCTTATCTTTAACTAGAATCAATTTCACAACAATCGATTATTAATATTTATTACCAACTGAAATGACTGATTGATTCTCGACACTAATGTTTAAATGTAAACTGGTTTTAGGAGGTTTAGTTAGATGAAATTATGCCCCCAAATGCCCTGGTACGGCTGAGGGTGTGGAGAGTCAGCTCTCTCTCTCTCTCTCGAAAGACACTCACATGGCCACGTGTATACAGCCAATATCAGGGAAATCCTGCTCACTGCCTTCTTGCACCACAGGTGTTGTTTACGAAATAAAGAGGATAAAAAGTGAATGTCCGGCGCTTTAATCGAATCGGTGAACACAGAGGATCCACATACAGAAGTTAGAAAACCGTCATTCCGAACCAATGGTGCACATGGTCTGCAGCATTCTGAAGGAACAAATGGCATATGAACTTATTGTTGGTCACCGAATACCATGTGACTGCATATATTTACGTTGCGCCCCTGCCTTGTGGATGAGACCTTTAAGTGAAAGGCTCCGACTGTGGCCCACTAACAAATACACCAACTTCCATTTAGGCACCAGGGGAGTATCCCAGCCCTCATACAACTCGAGCACGAATCAATTGATGATTAACATATCTAATGAACCCATGTCTTAGATTCCACTGCTAGCCACTACCAATCCTTGTTTATAAAACAATTATTGTTAAATGTGCTTAGCACGTATTATTAGCGTCTACTTGAAAGCAGGAGCAATCGGAAACAACAACACAACAATTGGGACTGGTAAATACCTCCGACACAAGAACGCGGCGTACTAGCACAACAGATATATTTTCGAAAATTAAAAGACACGGTTCAGGTACAAAAGGGAAAACTGATTAGAAAATAGTTTTATCCATCATTCTGCAGCTTCAGCTTACATTGAACTTGTTTCACTACTTCCAGTACATTTACTCTTTACCAACCTGTTATAAGAAAAACACACTCATATTAGTAACGTCACATGTAATGATTGTTGATACTGTTACCATATACATCTTAGAAAATTACCCTCAATTTATCATATTCTATTTGCTTTGAACAAACAAACAAAACAACCCAACAAATAAGTGAACAGAAAATTTTACATGATCTTACATAGTTTATTGATCAATGAAGCTAAATATGGTGAAGCATTGTATGGATTTTATTTATGCGCGTAACAAAAAGAAGGTACATTATTGACATGTTCACGTTAAGAATCAATAAGGAGACAATGATTTTTTTTTGTCAATTAAGGTATTTCATGTGAGAATAAATGTTTACATGTTAACGCTTCTTATCAGCTGCAAGCTGAATAAATTTACAATTTACTTACATACTTACTTACACTTGTTACCCCTTGTGGAGGAGTATAGACCACCTACCATTATTCTTTATTGAGATCTGTTTTAAGCAATCCTTTCAAGTTGTTTCCAATTGCTAATCATCCATATGATGTCTACTTCCGATTCTTTGCCTGTAGCTCTTCTAAAGTTATTGACAATCTCAAGCTTGAGTAAAGGAGAAGGGTTGGGCATGGGGTCAGTAACTGCAACTCATAGAAAACAAACGTACTAAATATACAATAGAACAATATTATTATAAGAAAACTACATTACATGGCATAATCAATGAAGTTAAGTTAGAAACAACTTAAGGAGCAAAAGGGAGAAACATTCAACAAAATAGTTAAGATTGACTAGTAATTCATAAATGATTTATTTCTATCTACTACATAACCGCTATCGATGAAGTGTGATAAAACCGAGCTGCATATTGTCTCGACAGTACCTTTTCTTAATCACGAAGGGAGGTGTTCAGTAACTCTTTGGTTCAGTTGTCTGGTAGTGCGCCCAATATAGCTTTCTCTATAGGAGCAGTTTTTTAAAGATGAATTCATAAAACGCGGAAGAAGGAAGGGGTAGTATTGTAAGTGATGATAAAGAAGCAATGAATAAAAACAAACTGTTAATAAATGTGTAATAACCACAGCAACCATTTAAGATCAAATTAAGGTTAAGTCTTTGAGTGAATGTCAGGGGGATTTTTTCACTTTTAAGTTGTAGACCATAATGGAAGAGATAATGTAACTGATTTGCGTTAAAATAATATAACTATCATACCATGACAATGATAGGTATACCATAGCGTTTTTCTGTAGATAAAGGTCAAGTCGAAAGCGTAGGATGGCAATAGCCTCTGAACTTCATTGATTATGGTATGCAGTAACATTTTTCAGATTATAATATTTCTCAGTATAGGGTTATGGAGATTGGTGAGGTTTGATTGAGATCGTGAATCGATCAATGTTAGACCACCACTGGAAACATTGGTTCGAACCCCACATGTGGGATCCTGGTTGCGCACTGCTCACCAGTCTCATACTAGGATGAAACGGCCATCCAGTACCTTCAGGTTTTCAATAGTAATCTAACATTGATCGATTCATGAACTCAAATAATATTTCTGCTGTAAGTTAATGACGTCTGTAGCTAATGAGAAGCCTTGAAATATAAGGAATTCATTTTATTCCGCAAATATTATTATTCTATCTTTACAGTTTTCTATCTGATTTTTGAATTCATTCAAAGGACGCAGTACAGATAGCCTATAAAGAATGAGCAGTTGCATGAAGATAAAATATGATAGAAATTAATTGTTAAATGGATGGTATGTGGTTAGCAGAGGAATCCAAGGCGTGGAACCTATTTGAAAGTACCACAATTCTGGAATCAATTTTCAGCGACGGGATTCTGATCCTCTCACTTCAAACACTCAATGTGTTATCAGTGTCCATAGGTATGGTATGTGCTTTGCACCTTCCAAGTGCAAAGTACTTCTACAAGACTAGCAGGATTCCAATCCTGTACTCGCTCTGGATGGTGAGCAGATAGACGTAGTTGAGAAGTTCGTGTATCTGGGTAGCTGCATAAGTGCTGGTGGGGGTGTGAGTGATGAGATCAATGCACGAATAGTGAAAGCCAGAGCGGCTTATGCCAATCTGGGCCACCTTTGGCGCCCTCGTGATGTTAGTCTGACTGTAAAAGGTCGGATCTACAAAGCGTCGGTGAGAGCAGTTTTGCTCTATGCTTGTGAAACCTGGTCTCTCCGAGTTGAGGACGTTAGACGACTCTCTGTGTTCGATCATCGCTGTCTCCGAAGGATTGCTGGCATCGTGTGTTCGGGCACAGAGATGATAACTCAATTGGTGTCACCATCTTGAAACACCGACTTCGGTGGCTTGGACATGTTCTCCGAATGTCGTCCCAGAGAATTCCACGTCGTGCATTATTTGCCGACTCTGGGACTGGTTGGAAGAAGCGGAGAGGTGGTCAGTGCATGACATGGTGTCGTGGCATGAAAGAAAGCTGCAAAGGACTGGCTTGTGTTGGTCCTTCACGACTCCCTGGTTGGGGTCCGAGAGATGGTGCTACACAGTGGCTAGAGACGTTATCAGATATGGCTCAAAATAGAAGCCAGTGGCGATCCTGCTGTAACCTTCTTTTACTTTCTTCATAAAAAGTGGTTGTGTCTCCCTTACCTGAAAGACTTCTTACGATTGTACCTTTGCGTTCCCTCATTACTACCACACCACCTTACACCAATCTCTTCGTTATTGTTCTCTTTTTTTTCTATTTCTCCGAATTCTCATTGTTTTGTGTGGCGCATATATCTTGGCGCTCTCTTGTACCAATATTTATGTGTTCAAATAAATAAATAAATAAATATCCACTTAGCTACTGAGTCCAGATAACAATTCACTTATTCAGTGAGTGTGGATTTTAGATAAGTGTTTGATGAGTTGAATATCTGAAGCAGAAGTGGATCCTGGAGTGAATATCAATATTAAGATGCAGGTAAATCCAGCCGGTTACTCATAAATAGGATGAATTGCGTGTGATACATTCCACTAATGGCCAAATCTCATCCATACGATACAAATTATTACAGTAATGGGTATATCGATTCTGTTTAAACGAGATACACATATGCTAAAGCTGATCGATGGTATAATCTAAATCATTACAAGTTAAATTAAAAGTCAATCGGTTTATTCAGTGATTCAATTCAAGAGGAACATCATCTACAAATCAAAAACATTTCACTATTATCTGATTTCAACATGATTCCCTGAAACCATAATCAATAGAATTCAGATATTTTTCTATTTTGATAAAACTACCACTCATGGAATTGACTGACAGTCGAGTTATAT